CAGAACTCAGTATCTCAAGATCACTGGGAGCCTGGAGTTGGAACTGAGATAGTGACTGATAGCCAGCAAGAGCTGCTGTTAAATTTTGGATTAGTGAACCTGGGGCCTTGTGTATGCTAGGCTGGGGCTATACCACTAAGCTACCCTCCCAGCCAGGGTGGCTGCTGACCTAGGGAGTCCCACTGTTCCCAGAATGTCATGACTTACAACCATTTTCCGGGGCATCTAAAGTGTCTCATGGCTTGTTGGGGTTTTGTTTGGTTCCTGTTTTATCCCTTGCATTTTTTTCTCCGTAATTTTCAATGTGAATATTCAAGTTTATACCGTTGGCCATCTCACTGTAGTTTTGTCATTACTGGGTATTATCTTTCTGTTCCTTTTTTATTTAGTTGGAGTTAGGATGATGGCTCCATGGTTAAGAGCAGTAGGTGCTCTTGCAGACGCTCAGTTCCCAGCACCCACTGGGTGGCTCACACCCATCGGTAACTCCAGCTCCAGATCATCAGATGCCCTCTTCTCCAGAGTGCTGCCTCTGCATCCTAGGTGCTGGGGTTTACAAACCTTTGTCAACCAGCCCTTTGCTATTGGTTTCAGACGATGCTTGGGTGGCCTCGAACTTCTGGACATGGAACCACATCCTGCTACCTTGGCACTTTGGACGTCTACACACAGATGGGTAATGAGAACCAAAGCAGGCAGCCCTCCTGGACACCAGTGACTGTCAGGTCCCAAGGACAGCAAGACACACCCCAGAGTTAGAGATGGGAAAAGAATGGGTGCTTGGCCACATGGCCTCAGACTGTGACATCCTCCTGTAATCTCCAGCCCTGTATCCTTAACTGACCCATGTCACTGAGAAGGCCACTTATAAAAAACAAAAACTAGACTTTAACACATTAAAAAAAATGGGGATCTTGGACACACCATTATAGGTGAACTGACCAGAGCAGAAGAGAGGCTGTCTGTGACTTTGAAGCATTTCCCCAAACTAGCAACTTCAAAGCCACCACCCAATGTTAGTCAAACTTTGACCTAAAAATTATGGCTTCCTTGACTCCTTGGTTAGTTTCCTAGACATGGTGAAGCCAGCCTGGGTCTATATATTCAGAGCTAAAATAAAAATATTTCACAGAATATGATTAAGCATATAAAATAAAATATGCATTTTTTTAATTGTGTCTTGCTATGTATTAATATCTAGGCTTACTTGTTGCGCTTGTGATCCTCCTGTCTCAGCTCTGTGAATAGCAGATGGTACAGCCGTGTACCACTATGCCCAGCTGGACACTGTTCACACAAAACCCAGAGCAAATGAGTCCTTCTGGGAGTCTATGTCTTTGTATGTAAAATGGTGGACAATGTTTTCTCAATTCACCTCACAGGGTTACTGTGAGAATAAACGAAGTTATATATTGTCTTCAAAATTAGTAGCTAATATTTACTGTTTGTCACCGGCCAAATACTGTAGAAATGACTTTAAATATGCTACCTGACAATAGAGTACTTATTCTGTGTACAAGTACATAGGGGAACTTAGATAAGGCATAGTAAGTCAACAGGAATTTTTACTACCATTGCTTGTATCACACACTAGGCTATTGCCTGGCTGCTTTTATGAGTATTGGAGACACAATTCACATACCATAAAACCTACTCTTGGAAAAATGATAAACGGTGGGCTGGAGATTTTGTTTAGTTGCTAGAGTATTTGCCAAGCATGCATGAAGGCCCGGGTTCCATCCTTAGCACCATACAAACCAAGTGTGGTGGTGACTGCTTTGAATCCCAGCACACAGGAGGTAAAGGAAGAGCATCAGAAGCTCAAGGCACGGCTGGAGAGATGGCTCCGTGGTTAAGAGCTCTGACTGCTCTTCCAGAGGTCCTGAGTTCAATTCCCCACAACCACATGGTGGCTCACAACCATCTGTAATGGGATCCAATGCCCCCTTCTGATGTGTCTGAAGACAGCTACAGTGTGCTCACACACATAAAATAAATAAATCTTTTAAAAAAAAAAAAAGAAGTTGAAGGCAGTCTGGGCTATATAAGACTGTCTAAAAATAATAATGCTGGGGGCTGGAGAGATGGCTCAGTGGTTAAGAGCACTGACTGCTCTTCCAGAGGTCTTGAGTTCAATTCCCAGCAACCATATGGTGGCTCACAACCATCTATAATGGGATCTGATGCCCTCTTCTGGTATGTGTCTGAAGAATGTATTCATATAAATAAAAATAAATATTTTTTTTAAAAAAAAAGATGGTCTTAGTGGAGTGGGATAGCTTTTAAAAAAATAATGCTGATGATGATAATATTAAAATATATACCATGTGAACATGTCCAGCTAGGCACAGTGGTGCATGCCTGTTAATGAAGCTGGGACAGAAGGACTGTAAGTTCAACAAACCAAGATATCAATACACAGAGAGCAAGAATACGCGCGCGTGTGTGAGTATGTGCGTGTGTATGTGTGTATCCCCCCCACCCAGTGGCTGTGAAAGCATGAGGATCTGAGTATGAATCCCAGCATCCATGTTAAGAGCTGCGTGTGCCTGGAAACCCACATCTATAGGAGTGAAGATTGGAGGATCTCAGGGCTTCCTGACCACTGGCCTTTACCAAGGTTCAGAAAGAAACCCTGTCTCAGGGGTGTGATACAGCAGGATACCCAGAATCTTCCTCTGGTCACTGTGCACGTTCACACCTCTATGTGCATATACTATACACCACGTACATGAATGCAGATATATATATACATGTAAGATAGATTTTAGTTATCTACTGCTAGGTTATATGGTACTTCAAAAGTTTAACTTTTACAGACTTGCTAAATTATTTAACTATTTTTCAAAGTGACTTTACCATTTTATCTATTTACCTGCATTTTTATATTTATGGTTTCTTTGGATTTTGTTTTGTTTTGCTTATTGATACATTCTAGATTTTTCTTCTTTAAAAATTTTTTATACAGTGCCTTCTAATTTCTTTGTGTGCTATTGAGTCATCAATTCATTAAAAAATGTTTTTTTTCTTTTCTTTTTTTTTTTGGTTTTTTGAGACAGGGTTTCTCTGTGTAGCCCTAGCTGTCCTGGAACTCACTCTGTAGACCAGGCTGGCCTAGAACTCAGAAATCCGCCTGCCTCTGCCTCCCAAGTGCTGGGATTAAAGGCGTGCGCCACCACTGTCCGGCTTAATTTTTCTTTATGTATATGTGTATGTGAATTTGTATATGTGTTCACACATGTGTGTTAGTTCCTACTGAGGCCAAAAGAGTGCATGAGATTCCCTGAGACGGGAATTACAGGTGGCTGTTAACTGCTTAGGGTAGGTACTGGGAAGTAAAGAAACATAACCACTGAGGCTGTCCCTCCAGTACCCTTGATTAACACTAGCTGCTCTTTCCAGGGGACTAAGATTTGATTCCCAGCACACACATGAGAGCCTACAACCATCTAAAACTCCAGTTCCAGGGATCTCATATCTTCTTTTAGCGTCCATGGGCAGTGCATTCACATGGTACACTGCCGTATATGTATATGTACATATACATATATGTATATATGTGTATATATGTATGTATATATGTGTGTGTATATATGTATATATATGTGTGTGTGTGTATATATATATATATATATATATATATATATACTAAAGCTAAACACTCATATAAACAAAAAATAATAAATTAATTTTTGAAAATTGTTCTAAAGGAGACATTTAGGAAAAGGGGTTATCTTTTACTTCTTTTAAGGCAGGGTCTCACTTTAGCCCTACCAGAACTGTAACTCACTGTGTAGCCCAGGCTAGCCTTAAATATATGATGATCATACTTTAGCCCACCAAGTTTGGAGTGTGTGTGTGTGCTCTGTGTGCGTATATATGTATATGTGTGTGCTGGCGAATGTGTGTATGTACATACACACTCCTATACACACACGTATACACACAGAACACATACACAGTCCTGAACAACATCCCTAGCTAGGGCCCCTGTTTTCCAAGCTGTGCACAATTATCCAGGCTGTCACTCAGAGGCAGAGTGCTTGCTTAGCACGTTCAAGGCCTGGGGGTAGAGCCCCACTGTTGGAAACAAAATGAAAGGAAACACAACACAGTCATCTTGGATTAAAGAGAATTTGTTTTTGGCTTCTTAAACTTGAGAAGGGAGCCACCTACCAGAAGCAGAGGAAGATGATGAGCAGAGTTCTCAAGGGAGTGGCTTCTGGTTCCAGAGATAAGCAGCTGATTGCAGCCTGCTAAGCTACCAAGCAGTGGTAGCGAATGAGTAAATTTGAAGGGAAGGAGGAAGCCTAATGTTTGTTCTTGCTTTGGTGACTACCTCAGCTTTCTGTTACTTCTTAGACTCTAATGTCCAGAAGTATATGTGGGGCCGGGCGGTGGTGGCACATGCCTTTAATCCCAGCACTTGGGAGGCAGAGGCAGGTGGATTTCTGAGTTTGAGGCCAGCCTGGTCTACAGCGTGAGTTCCAGCCAGAACTACACAGAGAAACCCTGTCTCAAAAAACAAACAAACAAACAAGGTATATGTGGGAACAATGGAAATGTAAAGGGAAAAAAAATGTAAAGACTAAACCTTCCGCCAAAAATCTACACATAAACACACTACGTTTGCCAGGCGTGGTGGCACTTGCCAGCCAACCCAGTGCTTGGTAGGTGGTGGCAAGAGGATGCTCAGTCTGAAGCCAGCCTAGGCTTAGTGAGTTGGAGTTTGGACTATGGAGAGAAACTCTGTCTCAAAACCAAGCAGCAACCAAGCAGCCAATCAAAAAAAAAAAAAAAAAAAAAAAAAAAAATTTTTTTAAAAGAAAAACTAAAACAAATTTTTTTTAAAGTTGAAAAAAAAAATGTTTGGATTGAATCCAGAGCCTCACAGATAGTATGCAAGTGCTCTCTAGTGAGATTCTCTTATAGCCTGAAAAACTTTGTTTTTACCTTTGGAAAGAAAACATATGAGTGTAGACATTAAGAAGTCCAGTGGGAAGTGTTACAGCTCTTTTAGAATTTGTCTAGCAGGTTTTCTGACTCCAGTCAGGAAACACCCCCCCCCCCAAAAAAAAAAAGAAGTCCAGTGGGGCCGGGCAGTGGTGGCGCACGCCTTTAATCCCAGCACTTGGGAGGCAGAGGCAGGCAGATTTCTGAGTTTGAGGCCAGCCTGGTCTACAGAGTGAGTTCCAGGACAGCCAGGGCTACACAGAGAAACCCTGTCTCGAAAAACAAACAAAACCAAAACCAAAAAAAAAAGTCCAGTGGGTACACAGGGAAGGGGAGGCTTGCCTCTACCCTGGCCTCTCACCCGATTTCTCTAGAAGAATTACAGTGGAGTTTCTCAACCTGTGGATCTCTAGCTCGCTGGGGGTTAGGGGAGGCTGAAGGATACCTTCACAGGGGTTGACTATCAGATATCCTGCATATCAGATAGTTACAATTCATAGCAGTAGCAAAATTACAGGGGATCCATGGCACTAGGCATGCACATGGTGCACATGTATATGCATGCAGGCAGAGTACCCACCCGCAGAAAATAACATTTAAAAAAAGCATCATGGTAAGTAAATAAATAGTAAAAGCAGGCATGGTGGCCCACAGCTGCCATCTTAGTGCTTCACAGGCACAGGCTGAAAGACCAGAAACGAGGTCTTTAAGGTCATCCATCCTAGGCTACCAAATCAGTTCCAAGCCATCCTGGACCACATGCCACACCCTCTTAAAAAACTAAAGGGGTATGTGTTGGTGGCATGGGGGAATAGCCTTGATCATTTGAAGAATAAAAGACTTCAATGATATTACAAAACAAAAGCAAAAAAACAAAACCTTCCAAAGCAAAACCTTTTGCCTTAGTTACCTAATGAGTGTGTTAGAAACTGCTCCCCAGGGGTTGGGGAGATGGCTCAGTGGTTAAGAGCACTAACTGCTCTTCCAGAGGTCCTGAGTTCAATTCCCAGCAACCGCATGTGGCTTACAACCATCTGTAATGGGATCCAGCGCACTCTTCTGGTGTATCTGAAGTCAGCTGCAATGTAGTCATAAATTAAAAAATAAATAAATCTTTTTTTTTCTCTCTCTCTCTATAGCCCTGGCTGTCCTGGAACTCACTCTGTATGTAGACGAGGCTAGCCTCGAACTCTCGAACTCAGAAATCTGCCTGCCTCTGCCTCCCAAGTGCTGGGACTAAAGGCGTGCGCCATCACCGCTCGGCTTAAATAAATCTTAAAATTTTTTTTTTTTTTTTTTAAAAAGTGCCTCTCAGGCTGGGTGGTGTTGGTACATGCCTTTAATCTCAGCACTGGGGAGGGAGAGGCAGGCGAATCTCTGAGGTTAAGGCTAGCCTGGTCTACAGAGCAAGTTCCTGGACAGCCAGGGCTACACAGAGAAACCCTGCTCTGAAAAACAACAAATGCTTCCCAGATGTTTAAATAACATTTGCTGAGTCTCCACCTTTTTTTTTTTTTTTTTTGAGTATTCTCTACTGATGTTCCCGAGGGGGAAAGCTGGTGCCTGAGCGTCCCTCCCGCTCCCACCAGCCACCACCGCACACCCCGCTACACGAGTTTGCCTTCTAGGCTAATAATCAGACCTGTCCAAAAATATCCATATTTGAAAGTAGGAAAGCCTGATGTTCCATACGTCTAAAGGAAAGTATTTTCAGAATATGAACGGAAAGGGATGACTGTAAGGAAGCATTTGATTTATGCGAAAGTAAACACTAAACTGCAGACCGTGAAATGTTTCGGTTTCATAGGACAGCTGCTGTGTGGAACCGAGTTAGGAACCTACCCTAGACAGGCGTGGCTTGGCCAGAGCAGGAGCTGAGAATTCAACCAATCAGCGCTTGCCCCGCCCTAACCCGCGTCTAGTCTGCATATAAACGCGGGCACTTTTTGTCTTTACAGTGTGGTGATGTTCAAACTCAGCCACAGCCTGGGGTGTACAGACCTTCAAGCCGTTAAGAGGGTTTTCACAGCCACCTTTTCATTCAGAAGTGACCAGCACCAGAGGCAGGCAGTTTATCAGACAAACACACCGCCTGCCTGGTTGACTTTTTGGGGACACCTGGAGAAGCTGAGTAAAACTATCTAGAAAGTTAAGCATGCGCAGGCCAAAGAGACTTTGTTTCCAACCCCGGGTGTCTCCTTAAGATCCACGCTGTGGGACTGAGAATGTGGCTCAGTGGTATAATGCTCGCATGCAAGTACAAAGCCCTGGGTTGGATTCCCAGCACCCCACAAACCCCAGCACGGCGTTGCATAACAGAAATTCCTGGCACTGGGAAGGTGGAGACCGGAGGATGAGACGTTGAAGGCCGACTTTGGCTATATAGTTTAAAGCCAGCCTAATATACAAGAGACTCTGCCCCCACGCGCCGTCAAATGACCCAAACTGGGATCTCACCCCATCTTGTCCCCCCAGGGTCCCGGCGGGAACCACGCACCGACACGAGCGGGACGCGCAGGTGAACCCCTTGCAGCCGGTTGAAGGTGGGGAACGTGCTCCAGGCGAGGAAGGCTCCGGGCTCAGGTCCCAGTAGAGCCACGAGCAGCACTTGGTGCTGGAAGCGCACGTTCGGCTGCTCCTCGTAGCTGCTCCGCTTCAGCCAAAACCCTGCGGGAGACAAGGCGGGTTGGGGGAGCCCAGGTCAGGATTGGCGGCCTGGGCCCGCCGGCCGCCCCGAGCCGTAAGGCCCTCCAGGCCCGGGCAGGCTCACCGTGGCTCCGGAAGGCCACCAGCAGAGGCGGGATGTAGGTGAGCGCGGTGGTCAACAGCAGGAAGAGCGCGGCCTTGGAGCAGAGCCCCGCGCGGTAGGCGCGCTCGACCGGGTGAGAGAAGAGATGGTACAGCGCCATGAGCCCAGGGCCGCAGCGCTGAGTCTCCACGGCAACCGACGATGGGCAGAAGAACCAATAGCAGGCACGCAGGCCTTTAGCAGGGGGTGGAGCTAGCGGGAGGAGGTTCCAGTGTTAGACAGTAGAAGCATTTTATGCAGTGCCTGCGGGTCTCTTCAAGAAAGCAACAGTAACAATATTTCCACTCACCAAAGTCGGTGTCAATTGTACAAAATCCGATATGCATAGATGTTGACATCTCCCCATAGGTCACCTATTAACTCACAACATAAAGATGGTTGATATAGCTTAGTTAGTAGAAGGCTAGCCTACCATGCAGGAGTCCCTGAGTTCATCTCCAGCACTTCATTAAACCAGGCACGGTGGCCCACATCTGTAATACTAGCAGTACTTCAGGTGAAGGCAGGAGGATCAGAAGTCCAAGGTCATCTTTAGCTACACTGTGAGCTAGAGGCCATCCGGAGATACAGGAGACTTTGTTTCGATGCAAAAACTCCAATGTGGTTCCTACTGAAGTCCCACCATTCATATAACAAGGCCACAATCCTAGAAGCAGGTACTTTTGCCTTAAAAGTTAGTGCTTTCACTATGTCCCATAGCAGGAAAGATAGAAAGCAGGAAACAAATTCCCTAGTTATTCAAAGGTTAGAGGGTAATTTACTACATGGCTCCTTCTGTTGTACTTTGTTAGGTATAAAAACTGATATTGTCTTCCTCAAAGTTAGCACTAGTTGATCACCTGGGTGAATACTAACACCAATATCTTAACATGGAAGACAGATTTTCTCTCTGTCAATACTCATTTCTCCAGGGCCTCTGCAAGAACAATCAGTGTTCTTAACCATTGAGTCATCTCTCCGGCCCCCCACCAATTATATATCTTAATTCTGGAAAGGCTGTCCTCTGACCTCTACATGTTTGTCATGGTGTTCATCTGCATATATACACAAATAATAAATAAATAGAGTATAACATGTAAATAAGCTGGAGAGAACGGCTGGTTTTCCAGAGGGTCTAGGTTTGACTTTCAGCACCCACATGGCAGCTCACATCCAACTGTAACTCCAGTCATAGGGGATCCTACAATCTCTGTGGGCACTGCATACACATGGTCCATAGACATACACTCAGGCAAAACACCCATACACATAAAGTTAAGATAAAGGCGTTGGCACACAGCTTTGATCCCAGTGTTCAGGAGACAGCGGCAGCCAGACCTCTGAGTTCCAGGCTAGTCTGGTTTACAGAGTGATTTCTAGGACAGCCAAGGTTACAAAGAAAAACCTTGTCTCAAAAAAAAAAAAAACCCAAATAATAATAATAGAAAATATAAAAATGTATTTTTAAATTAAAAAAAATAAGCCAGGCGGTGGTGGCGCACGCCTTTAATCCCAGCACTTGGGAGGCAGAGGCAGGCGGATTTCTGAGTTTGAGGCCAGCCTGGTCTACAACGTGAGTTCCAGGACAACCAGGACTACACAGAGAAACCTTGTCTTGAAAAACAAAAACAAAACAAAAAAAATAAATAAATAAAAAATAAAAACTGCATTAGAATAACCATTTTGGAATGGCTGGATGTCATGTAAATTCCTTGGAGCGGTTGATCCGTGAGTAAGAGAATGCTTGCCCCCTAAGAATCAACAGAAGGAAACATACGATGTAGCTAAGTCACCAATGAGACAGAGGGAGTTGAAGGTTAAGAATTTCGAAGTACAAAATGGTTCAGCCTTAGCTGGCTGTGGTGGTGTACACCTTTATTCCCAGCACTGGGGAGAGAGAGGCAGGTAGATTTCTGTGAGTCCTAGACCAGCCTGATCTTCATTGTGTTCTCCTGTCTCAGGAAATGTCTTTTGCCTCAAAAGACATTTCCTGAGCTAGAGACATGGGACAGTGGTTTAGAGCACTGACTGTTCTTCCAGAGGTCCTGAGTTCAATTCCCAGCAACCACATGGTGGCTTACAACCATCTGAAATGGGATCTGATGTCCTCTTCTGGTGTGTCTGAAGACAGCTACAGTGTACTCAGACATTAAATGAATAAATAAATCTTTAAAAAAAAAAAAAGACATTTCGCTGGACAGTGGTGGCGCATGCCTTTAATCCCAGCCCTTGGGAGGCAGAGGCAGGCGGATTTCTGAGTTCGAGGCCAGCCTGGTCTACAGAGTGAGTTCCAGGATAGCCAGGGCTACACAGAGAGACCCTGTCTCCAAAAACCAAAAAGAAAGGAAGAAAGAAAGAAAGAAAGAAAGAAAGAAAGAAAGAAAGAAAGAAAGAAAGAAAGAAAGAAGGAAAGAAAGAGTGATCTCGGGACTTTATTACCTTGCTTGTTTGCTTGTTCCTTAACTATTTGTGTTTATTGTCTTGCTTGTTCCTTAACCTAGAACTGACCTTAATACTTGCATATATTTAAAATGATATAAAAGCAGATTGGGAAAAAATAAACCTGCCTCAGGCCCAGAATTGGCTCGGGTCATGCTACAGTGCTTCTAATTATCTTTTTTTCCTTTTTCTTTTTTTTTTTTTTTTCGAGACAGGGTCTCTCTGTGTGTCTCTGGCTGTCCTGCAACTCACTCTATAGACCAGGCTGGCCTCGAATTCAGAAATTCGCCTGCCTCTGCCTCCCAAGTGCTGGGATTAAAGGCATATGACACCACCGCCCAGCTTGTTTCTTTCTTTTTTAAAGAATTATTTATTAGCCGGGCGGTGGTGGTGCATGCCTTTAATCCCAGCACTTGGGAGGCAGGCGGATTTCTGAGTTCGAGAGTTCAAGGCTAGCCTGGTCTACAGAGTGACTTCCAGGACAGCCAGGGCTACACAGAGAAACCCTGTCTCGAAAAACCAAAAAAAAAAAAAAAAGAATTATTTATTTATGTATGTGAATACACTGTTACTGTCTTAGACACATCAGAAGAGGGCATCAGATTCCATTGCAGATGATTGTGAGCCACCATGTGGTTGCTGGGAACTGAACTCCAGACCTCTAGAAGAGCAATCAGTGCTTTTAATGGCTGAACCATCTCTCCAGCCACCCCACCCCTCTTGTTTCTAAGGGTTAATCAAGATGACAAAGATATCTCAGTCTTCTTCCCTTTCCTAGACCAAAGTCAGATTCTTGCTTAAAGCTTACTTCTTTGTTCTAGCCCCAAATCAGATTCCAGCCTGAGCTTACTTCTCTGTCCTGGCCTTATGTTAAACTCCTGCCTGAAGCCTACTTCCTTGTCCTGGCCCAATGTCAAATTCTTGTCAAGGGGCCCCCAAAACTCTCCACAATAGAGACCAGCTTTGAAAAGAGAAGCAAGCGTTTTTAAGTTTAATTTCTCCCTCACTCCCTTTCTGCAGTACTGAAGATTCGAACTAAGAATTTTGCATAAATATAAATATGCAAAATTGAGATAAAATGCACTATTGAGATAAAAAATGCACTATTGAGATAAAATGCACTATTGAGATAAAATGCACTATTGAGATAAAAATGCACTATTGAGATAAAATGCACTATTGAGATAAAATGCACTATTGAGATAAACTTCAGCCCCTTAAGCCCTGTTTTTGTTTTCAAGCTGAGGTTTGTCTGTGTAGCCCTGACTGTCCTGGAAGTCATTTCGTAGACCAGGGTGTCCTCAAACTCAAGAGAAATAGGATCTGCCTGCTTCAGCCTCCTGAGAGCAGGAGTTAAAAGTTAGCTGCATCACTGTCTGCTTCAATTCTTTTCTTTCATTACAAGGGTCCCAGGGGCAAAAACTCAGGTCCTTAGTCTTGGCAGCAAATATTGTTACCTGAGTCATCTCACCAGCCCCTGAGAGATATATTTGAAACAGAGTGGTTTCCAACCCAATGTGTACTGGCGGATAACCTTGAATTTCTACCTCTCCTGCCTCCACCTCCTGTGTATTGGCTTTGCAGGTGAACAGGGAGGGCAAAGAGGTGCACACCTTTAACCCTAGGCAGAGGCAGGTGATTTCTGAGTCCAAGGCCAGATTGGTCTACAAGGGGAGTTCCAGGACTGCCAGGGCTGTTATACAGAGAAACCCTATCTCAAGAAACAAAACAAAATAAAACAAAAAGAGATCTCAGGCATAAACTACCAGTCTGGTTTATGTGTTTCTAGGGATTGAACCCAAGGATTCAGGCATGAAGTCCTCTACGAGCTGAGCTAAATCTCCAGCCCGATGATTTCTTTCCTGTCTGTCTCTCTTTTTTACATTGTGGATTAAATCCAGGCCTTTATGGGCTCCAACACTGAATTACACTCCTAGGTTAACGTAATCATTCAAAAAAAAAAAAAAATGCCTAACGTGCTGGGCATGGTCGCAAAGACCCTTAGTTCCTGTGCTCAGGAGGCAGAGGTAGGCAGATCTCTGAGTTCTAGGTCACTTTGCTCTGCAGAGTGATTTCCTGGACGGCAAGGACTAAATAGAGAAGCCCTATCTTGAAAAATACAAAAAGGTTGAATGTATTACAGGATCTTTTTAAAAGCCCCACTTCTTATCAAATGATGGTAAAACTCACAAGTTTTCAGCACAGAATTCAAAACACCAGTTTGTTCCAGATCTTTCTGATCTGTCTCTCCCTGTACTCCTCCTTGTTTACTTAGTCCTAGCCACACCGGGTCCTCTGTGTTCCTGGTGTATGACAATTTGTATAGTAACCCTCCACCCCACCAGTGCTTCATGCTGTCCTCATCCCATCCACTGTTTGACTTTTTGAAACTTTTCTGGTCTTTTTCCAAGATAATGCAAACTCTGATATAGCATGGGTGTTGTGATTTCTCCCAGTTTCCAGAACAGCACCCTGTTGTGTCTGTAGCATAACACATAACACTCAAAGGATTTTTCATTTCTTTTTTTTGTTTTTTCGTTTGTTTGTTTTTGTTTTTCGAGACAGCGTTTCTCTGTGTAGCCCTGGCTGTCCTGGAACTCACTCTGTAAGCCAGGCTGGCCTCCCAAGCTGGGATTAAAGGTGTGCACCACCACTGCCCGGCAGATTTTTTGTTTCACAGAATGACCAAGACCTAGTTGCTCACTCAGTCTTTAAAGTTCTTT